AACGGGCCGCATCCGGCCCCCGAGCCGTAGTTTGCCCATGCCTCATGTAGCCCATATAAGTAAATAGACAAAAGGGACTGAAAACAAATGGTACAGTTTTTCGTTCCCTTCCCCTTATATTAAGCAGCTTATTATTATTTTTCTTCAGTCTACTTCCACATTAGTCTTACTTTTCTGCAGTTTTTTTTTTGTTTGTTTTTATTTCTTTCTTTGGGTTAGCGGGCTAAAGTATTAGACTCACTGTGTCACTGTCTGTGACCATTAATTCTGTCATTACAGACCACAGCAGAACTAACTTTAAACACATGAATGTGCATACGCAGGCTGACACTGTCATAAACATATGCTTAAACAAGGCAGCACGTTAGACCAGGCATTGCAAACTGTCAGCTACACAGGTGCAGTGTACAGCTTCACACGCACACACACACACACACACACACACACACACACAACTCAACAGCTGTGAGAACAGTTGTGAAACATCAGCCAACTCCAAACTGACAGCGAAGGCAGACCGCTGAAAAAAGGAAAGTATTGAGGAAAACAGCAAAGTGGAGAAAGAAGCGGCCTTGTTTGTGCACGTGCATATGGACTTGTTCACAATTTTTTAATCAATAACCTAGAACAGGGTATACACACTTTTTTGCTCTAGAACTGAAAGTGATCTATCTACATTGAAAATGTTAGATGCACGTAGCTTTATGGCACAACATGATTCAGTTTTGAGTATAATAGATGGTCACTACTAAAGGCTATAGAATTTATATTTTAAATACTTATGTAAATATGTATCTTATATCTACTTGTAGATCGAGACTCATCCTGGTTCAGGGGCCACATAGAGCCTGATTCGACATAGACCATAGAATCATAACATAATTTTAACATAATTTGAATTCCCGAGAGGGCCTGTTTTGGTCCACGGACCATATATTTGACGCACCTAATCTAGAACTTCAATACAGTCAGAGCTTTTTTTGTCTACTTTTTACACACACACAGAGAGACTGTAAACATAGACACTGTAAACATACTTATTGTCCAGATCAAGACAGTGGAGACCCTTTGGCTTAGCTGCGTTGAGCGGAGGTCATAGATGTCATGAAAGAAGGAGCGACCTCATCGCCGTGGAAACGTGGGGGGAAAACATGTCGCTAAGAGCGGAGTATAACTAAATCTATCATCGGAGGCTGAGATAAATAGATTTGAAAAGGTGGGCAGAGGAAGAATCGTGGAGGAAGGATGAAGGTGGACTGTTTAGAGATGTGTTCAATATAATAAAAGCTCTGCCTTCCCCCACTGCAGCTCTCTTTTCCTTTCCAGAGCTCGTGTTCTGCCATCAAGAAAAACACAATAAGCAGCCCTCACCCTCCCCACCCCCTCTCCCCATCTTCTTCTCTCACTCTGTGACCTGCACTTCTCCCTCTTATTTGTCTGTCAGACACTAACTGTGAAGGAATAAGAACTGACACCCCAGTCCCAGCAGCAACCAGCCAAAATATTTAAGTACCAGCACTCAAACATTCTGCTCTCTCTCTCTCTCTGTATATATATATATGTGTGTGTGTGTGTGTATTTATATACAGTATTTACATATATAGAGAGGGTAGTTTATATGTGTATATATGTATAAATGTATAAATACTGTATATGTATATACACATATATACACATTGTTTTGATTTTTGTGTCTCCTGATGTCCGTCACTGTCAATTTAGTCTTTGATCATAATGTCTTGTGGTTATTTGTTGCTCACACACCCACCACCAGCCCCCGGGGGGACCCAGCAGGAGGGTTGTTCTGGATATTACTCTTTCATGGCGTGACCTTAGATAACAACCTCTGACTTCTGACCTGGCCCTGTGACCTGGAACTTGTTTCCACCTCTCATGTGTGCAAAGTGTGACTTTGTATACTGTGAAAACTACAAGAATAATATACATGAAAGACAGAGGGAGAGAGAGAGAAATGGAAGGCTGGTGTCAGAACTGCAAAAGAGCCTTTTAGTACTTGGTGTTTTAATAAAGTATAAATTGACACTTTACAGGTACAACGGTGCTGGTTAAAGATGATAATATTATTATATGTATTTAGAAAAAGATGATGAGGTTGAACTTAAAAATTATGTTGATGTATCAAACTCTGCGTAGTTACATACAATGTAGAGGAAATATGTTCTACTTTGAATATAGATTAGAACAGATTTACTGCATGCCACAAGTAACAAATGCACTCTTTATTTCCAGAGTATTTTTTAGTTGTTTTTTTAACTATAGAGGTAACCTATAGTTCTGACTAACTTTTGCAAACCTGTTCGCTGTATCTAAATCAAGCATGGGCAAACTACGGCCCGAGGGCTGGATGCGGCCCGTTTGACCTTCCAATCTGGCCCGCCAAACTTGTCCAAAGCATATTATTAATTTATATAAAAAATTATATTTCTGCCTTTTCCCTGCAATGCTAAAAGCATTTTAGCCTTTATGAATGACTTTTACATACCTCTTTTCTACGCTCCATCTACAGAGATGTTAAATCTCTGCTCCTGACCAGGTCCCCCTGTCAAATTTATGGTGGGTGAGGCTGGTGGTGGTCGTAGCAGTGAGTGAGGTGTTAGGCAGAGGGATGAAGGGATGGCAGGAAAGGTGCTACTGTTAGTGACTAATGTGAAAATGAAAATGAAAAGATTTTTAAACCATTGCTTCACTGCTGTAATATTAGAAAGCAGATAAACACATTGACAGTATTAGGATGGTTTGGCTTTCTTAGTAAAGATCAGGACCTGTCATCTAATACTTAATGCTTAAAGAACTTTAGGCTCGAACAGGTGTGGGAGAACTTTTTGACTCGTGGGCCACAATTGTCCTAAAATTGCCCAGGGGGGCCGAGTCAGGAACAGATAGATGGAGCGTTTGCGTGAACTATCATAAATGACATGAAAAAGTCATGCATAAAGGCTGAAATGCTTTTATCATTTGCTATGCCATCTATTGGGGAAACGTGGGCATTGCAGGGAAAAGGCAGAAGTATAATGATAATATAAATAAATGTTATAATTTGGAAAGGTTTGGCGGGCCAAATTAAAAAGCCGAATGGGCCACACCCAGCCACTGGGCCTTAGTTTGCCCACACCCAGCCCCTGGGCCTTAGTTTGCCCATGTCTGGGCTAGAATAATGTAACATTGGCAGTGTTTTCACTCCATATAACACGCCCAGCCTCTGAGTCTGATCTCTACAGGCAGAGCCATCAATCAGCAGCCATTATCTCTCCACTGTCCTCTTTTCCTTTCACTCCTCCAACCGACCTCCTCCTCTGCCGTCCTCCGCCTGTGTAGTGTTGAGGTGGGAGTTATGGCCTACATCAAAAACAGGCAGATATTAGCTCTGTCTTCATTTTTCAAGCACAGCCTATATCACATTAACCTTAAGTAGAAATAAATGAAGAGAGAGGAGAGGAGGTAGAGTCAGAGGAAGGGGGAGACGGGCCGTTAGCACCTAGCAGTACACAGCATGCACGTACAACAACAGCGGCTGCAGAAAAATAATTACACTTTTGTTTGTGATGAGAAAAAAAACAAGGTTCTCAATTTTTACGGCCGGGTGGGGGTGGTTTTGTTTTTTGTTTTGCTTTTGACATGTACTCTTTTACTCTGGGCTAATATTCATTAGCATTTATTCTTGGCTATCTAAAGCAATTGTTGGCTTTCCTTAGTCATACAGGTCCTCCACTTAAGTCGGAGTTCTGTTCCTATGGTGCAGCGTAACTTATTTTCACTGTAAGTCGGAACTCACATACTGTACATCAGTATCTATGTTACCCACCTACACTTAAACAGTGGTAACATCATCATCTAGAACATTAATCAGAAGAGTCTGACTTACACCTGGGAGCCATAATGAAGGGCAAAAAGTTCCAATAAAACGTCACAAACGAAAGAAAGCAAAACAATCCAATGTGTAGTGTACAACCATGCAAACTAGTCAGTGAGTTTTATAGAAATTACCATAAACAGAGAGCATGAGATGACACTGTGTTCTAACGCTAGCACATTTACAGACACACGTGCACTTTGTGTTGCTTTTTTAATGTCTTTTTTGTAAAGCCATGTAGTAACTGACCTCTTGGCCTTTGCGCTGTGCTCAGTGCTCAGACTGACCCCCAGATGAAGGTTCCACACACTTTTGTGAAGACTTGGGTTTAAACAAAGCAGAGAAATTATGCCTGGGGAGGAGATTAATCACAGCAGATGCCTCCCTGTCACCAGGAGAGACAAAGATGCTCAATGAAGCAAAGGTTTTCAAACTGTACTAAGAATATACTACAATTCAATCTTTTGTGCTGACAGATTGTCTAATTTTTTTATCATTAAAGAAAATATTTTATCTTTCTTCCTAATTAAGTTAAGATTTCTTTTGAGCTCATATTAATGAGTTTTTGTGATCTTTTATCGAACAAATCATTTGGGTGGTGAGAGAGGTGAGCTGCCAGAGATCTGGAGTGAATGGACTAATGGGAGTTAATTCACCATCTGTCTGTGTGAGGTCATTAGCAGAAACAGGTTCAGCCACAGGGGAGGCTGAGAGGGGAAACACCATCCCTCTTTATCCCTCCCTTCATCTTTAGTTTGCCTCAGCGTCACCTGTCTCTCTGAGGTGATTCTTTATCAATCACATAATTTGCTCAGAACTTATATTTTCTGAAATACACACATTTAGATCCCCCCCCCTCCCCCCCCAATTTTTACATACTGATTGTTACATGCTAGTAGACGTCCTTAAGTTAAAATCTGTGAGAAGAGTTCTTTTGACTTGGTTGTGTGAAAGTCCAGTGCTGCCCTCTGTTGGCAGAATGAGTTATAAAGTATTTTTCGACGTTGACAAATAAAATAGTACAGCCAGACATGGACGTGAAAAAAAATGAAAAAGTTAAAAGCCAATATAAGTCTTGAAATTGAATTGTTTATTATTAAGGTGATCACTTGTTCTTGATAGTCCATATTTAGCTGCCTACTGCTCTCCTTGGTGATGGGTTAAAAGCAGAGGCTCAATTTCGTTGTATCTTTGTGGTACAATGACAATACAGACCATAAAATAAAAATAAAACAAATTTTATTGACAATATTATGACATTTGCAGTTTACTATAACACTATAAGGTTAAAGGTCATCCCAAAGCCACACGAGAGCCTCCTGTATTTATTACTTAAAGTTTCAAAGAGTTCGAGTCAAAACATACAGCCATAAGGAAATTATTATATGATAGAGCCAATCCCAATGGTCAATGGACAAAGCTGCGGTACAACAGTCAACAACAACAATCAAACAACCATTCAGGCTCACATTTTAAAATGTTACAAATTAACAAAACAACAACAACAACAAAATGCTGCATCCAGCAGCAAATTATTATTATTTTATTTTTTCCCCGTTATACCCTGAGTCTTAATTATAGTTTGATAAATAAAATATGGATTGTAAGTTTGGGCTGTACATATAAAATTGCCTTGACTTAAAGTGATTTGTTGTAATGTTTTTAAGGTTCTCACGTGAAGCAATAAAATAAGAAGTTATGTGTTTGGACATGTGACAGAGCCACAAACAATAGTACTTGTTGTTTCCAGCGGGAGTCGCTGGTGGACATGTGAACCGGCTTTGGGGCATTACACCGTGTTAAGTCGTCAGCTGCAGACCGAGTCGCTCCTTCAGTAAAAGAAAAAAAAGAAAACAAACAAAAAACAGAAAACAGATTAGAACTCGCTTCCTTAAAGAAACGGACCTGCTGCTGTAGTAAAGCGTTCTGGATACTGTCCGTGATGAGGTGGATTGACGATTACGTTGTTGTGGACACTTTGGATCTTATTCGTCATTGAAGTTTGCGAGGCTCATGTTTCACCGGCGGTTGCTAACAATATTAGCCTGGCTAAGCTAGGTAATTGAGACTGTCTATCAAAAGTTTTGCACTCTTGTTCACTTTCTTAACACGTTCCGTTTCTTCACTGTCGTGCTAAAAGTTTTACCACCCAGCCCAATTGTGCAATATGGACACGTTTTGTTGCGTTATTCGCAAGGCTAAATGTTTAGCACATTAGCTTGTCGACGTACAAGCGCCGCCAGCAACTTACAACTGCAGAGTATTAGAGATCAAACCGCCACAGAAGCAGCGTGTGTTTCTGAGAGTGGCCGGCCTATAGCCATGTTTGAAACGGAGACGCACATTTCGTGGCTTTTCCCGGAGATTTTAGCCATTATCTTCAGTTATCTGGACGTTAAAGACAAAGGCAGAGTCGCACAAGTGTGCGCGGCCTGGAGAGACGCGTCCTACCACAAGTCGGTGTGGAGGGGGGTGGAAGCCAAGCTCCATCTGCGACGAGCCAACCCGTCGCTGTTCCCGAGCCTTCAGACCAGAGGGATCAAAAAAGTCCAGATCCTCAGCTTGAGGCGAAGTCTGAGTTACGTGATCCAAGGGATGCCACACATCGAAAGCCTTAACCTGTGCGGCTGTTTCAACCTGACGGACAACGGTCTCGGACATGCCTTTGTGCAGGACATCCCGTCGCTACGGGTGCTGAATCTCAGCCTCTGCAAACAGATCACGGACTCCAGCCTCGGTAGGATCGCCCAGTACCTAAAGAACCTGGAAGTGCTGGAACTCGGGGGTTGCAGCAACATTACAAACACGGGCCTGTTGCTCATCGCCTGGGGCTTACACCGACTCAAGAGTCTGAACCTGCGCAGCTGCAGACATGTGTCGGACGTGGGCATCGGGCACTTGTGCGGCATGACCCGCAGCGCGGCGGAGGGCTGTCTGTCCCTGGAGAAGCTCACTTTGCAGGACTGCCAGAAGTTAACAGATCTGTCACTCAAACACGTCTCCAAGGGCCTGAACAAACTGAAAGTACTCAACCTGAGCTTCTGTGGAGGGATATCAGACGCGGGCATGATCCACCTGTCACACATGTCGCAACTGTGCAGCCTGAACCTGCGCTCCTGTGACAACATCAGCGACACAGGAATCACGCATCTGGCCATGGGCTCCCTGCGGCTGCGTGGACTGGACGTGTCCTTCTGCGATAAGATTGGAGACCAGAGTCTTGCTTACATTGCACAGGGCTTGTATCAGCTCAAGTCATTGTCTCTGTGTTCCTGCCACATCAGCGACGACGGCATAAACAGGATGGTGCGTCAGATGCATGAACTGAAGACCCTCAACATTGGACAGTGTGTAAGAATCACAGACAAAGGATTGGAGTTAATAGCCGACCACCTGACGCAACTGACGGGAATCGACCTGTATGGTTGTACTAAGATAACGAAGAAAGGTCTGGAGAGGATAACGCAGCTGCCGTGTCTTAAAGTGTTAAACCTGGGACTGTGGCAGATGACTGAGAGCGAGAGAGTGAGGTGAAAGTCTGTACACGAGGTTCTGTTTGTCAACTGCTCTGTTTTACTGGTTTGACCTTCTATACCAGGCGTGGGAAAACGTTTTGACTCGCGGGCCACAATTGTTCCTAAAATTGAACAGAGGGGCCGAGTCAGGAGCAGATAGATGGAGCGTTAGTGTGAACTAAGATAAATGACATGTAAAAGTCATGTATAAAGGCTAAAATGCTAAAACGCTTTCATCATTTTATATGCCATCTATTGGGGAAATGTGGATATTGCAGGGAAAAGGCAGAAGTATAATGATGATACAAACAATTATATAGATTGGAAAGATTTGGCGGGCCAAATTAACAAAAGCTGAATGGGCCACATCCAGCCCCCGGGCCTTAGTTTGCCCATGCCTGTTCTATACTGTGACCTTAACACGGAGACCCACTCAGTTATGGCTGGAGCGTTGTTCACCTCTGTGTAAGCGTCCACTTCCGCTCTGACCAGTAGTCTCTCTAAGGGTGCAATATTCAGTGTTAGCCAGTGGTCAGTTCTTAATTTCTAACTACCTCACTCACCAAACAGAGTTGCCTAACTTTACAGCTTTGTATTAGAATAGATTGTATATTTTTGTAACTTGTATAATGCAGGATGTTTTAATATTCCAGAAAATTCCTTTTTTTAATAGACATATTTGATAGGCCCAGTGTGTAATAATTAGTGGCATTTAAAGTTAGGACTCACCAGTCCAATGAACTTTTTTCCCCAACTTTTCAGGGAACTAAGGTGGCCTTCAGATACCAAAAAAAACTTTATTCCTCCTCCTACTTCTTTTCCATTGGTTCATGCGGTGGAGTCGTGTGTACAGAGTTGTTGCCCCTCATGTTAATCCTCAGTCTGTTGTGTATACATGTATTTTTTGTAGTATATTTAATTGTCTGCTAATGAAACAAAATGTTACACACTGGACTTCTAATTCCTAACAGCAGGGGGGGCGGAGTGCCTTGGGTTAAACATTTGATGAGAATTTCGTTTTGTCTGTTTTATCGATTACTTGAATATCCAGTATTTTTTATATTTAAAGACATGTTGAAAAAAATAATACTTCAAATTGAAGTTTGTTGAATTTCTTCCGTGTGTTTGCGCTTACGTACACACTGTCGGCCGCACCGGATGTTCCTGAGGAAAACGCCTATGTACTACAACTGTTTCTCTACGCTTACTCTCTGTCAACGGTTCGTCAACTAGAAAATGTAGCAATTAACTCTCTGCCAAGGCTTTATTGCAATACCTTTAACTGCTCCTCGTGGATTTCCCTTCTGAGGGGGCTTTCATAATAATTTCAGAGTATTTGTTGAACAAAACAGGAATTAAAAGATTGTTTTATATTCATACAGTAGTGATATTTAAGAATAAAGTTAGAACATGCTACAGTCGTGTCACCTATTTATTTAACTTGCATCCTATTGGCTGTCGTGTGGTTTAGTCAGCACACATAAATGGCTTTCAGAAAGTCATGATACACCCGTGTGTGGTAGGTGCTGCCCCTCTACTGAAAGGTGAACCTGTTTTATTCAGGTTTTTACTCTTGAAAAGTTGTTTTTATATTCACCTGTGTGTGTCTTTGCATCTAGAGCAGAGTATCAAAAGAGACACTAAAAAACAAAAATGATATTTTAGAAAACAAAGAAATTAAATCCTATAAATACTGTACAATACAACAAATGTATATTTGGTTTTACACGTTGTTGTTTTGGGTCAAGGGTGATTCCAAATTCCTTTTTATCTTTAAAACTTACCAGTTTAAGGTTATGGTTTTCTCATTTGTTGTTTGAAGACAAAACAATGATCGAGACTGAGTTTGACTTTTCTATTTTTTTATAACATTTCTATCACACATATCTTAACGTAACATTCTGCTTCTTCAACCTCTGCCTCACTTTAGTTTCTGTACCATCTGTATCTAATTTTTTTTAAATTATATTATTAGCGTAAAATCTTTTGTAGTTTTTTCTCCGTAGGCTTTCAAAAGTCACAGCTTTTTATTTTAATTTAATTGTTTATTTAAATATAAATATATCTGGGTCCAGTATTTTCTCTGGCTAAAAAACAGAAGGTAACTCTCCAAACACGTGATACATTGTGGGTTGCATTTATTACCTCCTTTCCTGTATAAGTTTCTCTTTTACCAGCCAATTGTAATCACTGTTTCTCTGCACATTTCTGGGCCACATTTGGCCCCGCAGGCCACTATTTGAAGAAACAGGGCTTTAACAGCTAAAGATTCAATGATTGGGGATGTGATAATTTATTAATTTTCTTTACCTAAATAATTCTAATCTAAACTCTACTTAATACCATTAATATTCAAATTTGAACTTTTCTGCAGAAATTTGAAGAAAAATAATTTGTTTCCATAGACTAGATGTTGCTGATTACAGTCTAATATTTGCCAATGCTGCAAAAAAACAACAACAATAATACAAAGAAATTAAAGAGGACGTAATGGGGAAAAAATCTGTAACAAAAACACAGGCCATAATTTATTTATTTACATACATACAAAATCCAAATAATGCACAAACATGTCTGTATTTGCTTTCTTTTTACAGTTCCATTCGTGACACCAGATAGAAGGCATTACATTTCTCACACACATGAAAATCAAACCCAACACCTTGAGCTGGACAGAAGCTCATTTTTCAGCTGTGTACTCTGAAACGAGGACAAAAGTCAAGGCAAGAGGCAAGAGCAAGGATACATGGCCCAAAGAAAGGAAAATAAAACGCTTGGGCCAAAAAAAAAATTCATCCTTTAAACCCAGTGGTGTAAAAAAATTAGTGAGGTATGAGAGACAGTACACAGAGGTTTTACTACATAGTATCCAACCCAGGATTGATTTTTTTTCTAAAAAAACAAACAAACATTTACTTTATATTGTAACATTTAGTTTTTAACACGATGGGTGACGTTTTTTTGGGTGACGTTTTTTTTTTATCCACCAGGTTCAATCTACCTTTGGCATCAACGATGACAGAAATGCACAGAAACAAAAAGTGATAAACAACAAACAATAACACTGTAATGGTGAGGTCCCCAACCAACTGGCCTGAACCGGTACCAGCAGAAACAGAAAAATAACCAGAGATACTTCATTTTGAAAAGTGACCTAAATCTCTTTCAACAGTAGATGTTTCATGCCCTGAAACTCATCAAAATAAAAGTCTGCGGTGGGTCTTCTTAATAAAAGGAAAGACGGAGAGTCTTCCAAGTTGCAGATGAAAGTTTTCATCTACAGTCTTGCATAACAATATGGCCTTCTCTGTCCGAGTTTATTTCAATATCAAGTGCAACATTTTATTTTGTAGTGTTTTTGCACGAGCAACAACTCTGTGGCACTGAAAAGGTTGGGGACCTCCATGTGACGATATGTAAAAACAGTATGATACTGAGAAACAAATGAAAGAAAAAAGACTCTTCCATCACAGTCACAGTTTAAAAAACATGTCGTCACACAATCTGACACAAGGGTTATTTTTTCCAGACACTTTTTATACTTTGTGTTGAGGACATTTACCTCCATGTTCTTTTTTGTTCCGAGCCACTGGCTCTTTGAGAATCTGTGCAAACATTCAATGCATATCCATACAGTAAACATTTTTATATAGTATATTTTTTTTAATATATATCTCTACAGAACATGACTTTCCGCAATTCATGGCAGTACAGTCAATACATACACATTTTGCCCTCATGACAATTTAGACACAAAAGACAACTGCACTGCTTTAGACTTTTCTGATTGATTTTTTTTTTCCCTAGAATAACGCACAACATTGTCCACTTAATTACCTTTATACACTCACCATATGTGTTAATTACCACACTATTTACAAATGGATCTAAAAAGTCCAATTATTTTTGTAAGTGTTGATGCACATTTTAATTTAAAAACCTCAGCCCTGAAGAGTTCAATATGATAAAAGGAGGCGTTTCCTCCATCTAACCTAAGACAAAGGGGATCGCTTCGACTCTTGTGCTGCTTTTTTTTTTTTTTTCAGCTGGGCGTTCAAGTAAAGTCTACAGAAACTTTGGACGAGACTGAATGATTAGTGGATCAGATCAAAAGTTCCCTACCACTTGCCGTAGCACCAAAATGACAGAGGTATCCATTTCTCTGCGTTAGGTCCAGAACCGATCACTACGCATGTTCCAAGGCCACAAGAACGTTCTCAAAGAAAAAAAAACAAACACACCTCACTGCACGTCATTAAACATGCACATGTTGTGTGCAAAAAACAGTTTAAAACCCAATAATCTACATGGCTTTTCTGACTTATACACCTAGCTCTTCTCTGACCTCCTAGTGATGAAGCAGCTTCCCAGTTAAAAAACAAAGGTTTCATCCTTCAAAGGTGCAGTGCGTAACTTTTGGTGTGGGCCTCAACTTTGTAGTTAATGCTATATTTTTTTCCTTCGTCTGTTAGGTCATTTATGTTGCGTTAACATGCGAGGGTTAAAAATAATTTTCAAACTGTAGTCGATCCATCAGGATGCTCTGTGGACCCAAGTCCTCTCCTTGTTCTACAGCAAAGGACAGTGACCTTCCTTACTGTTAGCATGCTAAAGCTAAACACTAAACAATAAAGCTTTTGAAAAGTGGCGCGCTATCGGTCTCCTAGCTCGATACAGCTAATACAATGCAACACAACCTTTAACCATAGTTCAATCACTTTGGCATAGTGCTGAGACGGTCCAACAAACGGGTGAAATAAGACTTGACTGGCAGCAAGAGATATGATAGATATTCCATTCTAAAGAGCAAAACCTTACATTACAGAAACAAAGCTGTGGCTTTAGTTCAGATGTTGGAAACTTTACACTGCTGAAAATGAGTTACTTTTACTTGGTCAAAACCCCACAAAGAGGTCCTGATCCAAAGGGGAGTTGCCATGAATGTCTAGCATTTATGTTTCCTGGTTGCCTTTTGAAATGATGTAATCTGTGCATGTGCTTTGTCCTTGCCTCTGTTGTTTTTGACAAAACAAATCACTCCATTGTAGCTCAGAGAAAGAAGATCTGAGGGCTAAGCCTTCCTGTTGTTGCGTAAAGGTGGACCGAAACCTGTACCTAGATCAGCACTGAGTTCAATCCTTTCAGTTTAACTTAAAGTTATGCACTGCAGCTTTACTAGAACATCAAAACATTTGCAAAGCAAGATTTGGTAGGTAAAAAAATGAGAACACAGGTTGGTAAAGAAAACTGTGCTTCATCTGTAAAACCCTACCCTCCGGAGACAGGGCGGTTGGCAGTTTGCTGCAACACTGTGCAAAGTCTTTTATCCAAAAACTCTCTCTTCTATCGCTGCTGTCTCTGATTTAGAAGGTTTGCTATAATCTTTTAAAAGAACGAATTCCGAATCATTCTAAATTCTATTGGTTGTGCACAAATACTCATGGCATGAGCGTTGAATATCCCTAACCTGTGGACATATGTTCAGGCAGAAGGGTTCTGTCCACCATCTGCCATGGTCATCATCACTGATCAGAACCTAGTGTGCAGAGGGTTATATGATATTTGCTCGTTGTCATGCTTGGCTGCAATTTAATAGACCACAAGCCACTCTGATAGTTACTGCCAGACTGGAACTACAGACCAGGCCATCAGGGGTTTGAACTGTTGTTTTGGGGTAAGAGGGAAGTTGAGAGTGTGCGCTTGTTCTGTTTGAGATAATGATGCCCCCACTTTTCTTTCTCTCTCTCTCCCTCCCTCCCTCTCCCTCATTCCACGCCCCACCCTAGGAACCTTTGGTAAGTGGAGGTAGGGACACCTGCACTCAGCTACAGGTTTAAATTCAGGTCCAGGGTCAGCTGCTTTCTGTGTGAGGTCAAGAGGTGTTAGCATGACTCCTCCAGAGCGTTGACGACCTGCTCCAGGATATCAGGGCAGTAGTCCGCAATCTGTTGGAGGACACAGTTGGCGTACTCCTGCAGCTCTCCACTCTCCTTCTCACACACCTCCAGCTCTCTTTCCAACTAGAAAGAAAAATGTATGGATTAACTCTTAAAACATCAAGTTATCCTGTTGAGAAAAAAATGAAGGTTTAACCAGTAACGACTCAGGATGGCTTGATATATAACTTTTTTTAGCAGAATGTCGCACAATGTATATCCAATACAGTTATCTTTCGTTGTTACTAACGGTTTGTTGCAATAGCTTAGCCCCGGCTCTTTGCTGTGAAAAGGCACACTGGACATTTGTTGTTTTTCAAAGCTAACCTTTGTTACCTGTTGGATACTCATCCTATGGAGCTCCTCCTCCCAGTCTTCAGGGTCGCTGTGATGGTAGTGAGAAGGTGGTGTGAGATGGCTGAGAATGCTGGGGTCCCGCTCGTGGCAGAGGTCAGTCAAATGAGCTATGTAGAGCTTGAGCTTGCTGCGGTTTTGGGTCAGGGCTAAGAGAGAGGGTATCGTCTGTAGGGTGGGGGAGAGCAAGGGGGAGATAGAATAGGAAAATTAACAGAAAAATCATGAAAAACTGTCTATTAATTATGAACTCTTATTGAAAACAGACGGTGAAATTATATCTGAACAGGTGAACACAACAGGTTAAAAATGATTTCATTCCCTTAACAAAATACATAATACAAGCAGACAATGAGTAATTTGTCACACAACACAGTAAAAGAGAACGTCATGATGCGCATGCTGAGCGGCAACAGCTGCTCTCAGAAAGAAAAAAGGCCAGAATGGATGAAATAATTAGGAAAAAGAGATGATGGGTAAAAAAAATATATAGAAAAAGGAAAACATAAATGGATGTAACTCCAGAAGAAAACACGCTGCAGAGCAAGAATGGAAATAGGTGAAAGCAGCTCTGGCTTTCAACATAACCTCACCCTTCTAAACAAAACAGCGGAGTGAGAGAGAGGAGTGAGGGCAAAAGGTTTGCTATGCCCAAATACCCTCCTCATCGTCCTGTTAGCCGACCGCAGCATTGGAAGGGAGCATACGGTTAGTGTGCATTGAGGCAAAAATCGTTATTTCAAATTCTTTGATGTCAGCAGAAAGACTGAATTGAAAAATCCTAACCTCAGACTTCGTCACCACATTAAATGGGAAGTATTGTAAATTAAAAAAAAAAAAATAGATGAGGTACCTGATCTGGAGAGGGTTTGTGATTGGTATGGTCAGAGGTCTTGAAATGGTCATCTTCATTGCTGTCTGCCATTAACTTCATCCTATTCTGAGTCTGTTTAGAGAAAATAAATAAATAAATATCACAATACATGCACCAGCAGGGGTGTGCCAAAAATCCCTACTACGATATATATCAGGATATCTCGTGTTTTGCTATGTTATCGATATACTGGTACCAAATAACTAAACAACTAATTTCACATGAATGGGATGTCATTCATGCGCAGTACAAACATAACAATTCCAATGCTTATTAGACAGCAGCCCTTCCCCACCTGTTGCTTGAGCTGTTGCACCAGTCTGTCCTTTTCCCTCTTCAGCAGAGCAACTTCTTCCTGAGTCTTCTTTTTCTTAGAGGAGGACAACTCCAGAAGGGCGATGTTAGCGTCTTTTTCACTGATGGCGGCCAGTAGTGCCTCCTGCCTGTGAGGAGGAGAAGAGCAAAATAGCATGACATTTAACTACACAAGTAAATAGCCAATTATCATTTATAATTTATTATACAAAGTCATCCTGCCAGCTGGAGACGGCCAGATGTGGATGACATTTTTGAAATATGAATGCAGCAATCAATAAGGATTTAGAGTGTATTACTGCACTTGTGTAAGTGTGTGTGTGTGTCTCTTACTTCATCTCCAGCACCTCCTCTCGGTGTTTCCTGCGCTCAGCTCGCAGGGTTGTAAGATGTGCTTCTTTTTCACACAGAGACTGCTGAGTGGAGGACAGCTTGGCTCGCATGGACTCCAGTTCCTGCTTAACTTTATCCATGGCCCCCAACAGCTCCTCCATCTAAACACACACACACAAACACACACAAACAAAATCATGAGTCGTCAGTCACAGACAACTAAAAAGGCTTTCCTTTATGAGGGTTTTTAAACAGTTGGTCTAATATTTGCCATCTGTTTACATTTGTTATTACTAAATTCTGCGTAATTTTACAAAATGTCACACACACAGTTTGTTTACCCGCTATTTACTTAGAGATACAAGTTGATTAAAAACAACTGTTAATGAAGAATGAGAAAGTGTAATCAATACCCAGTATGTATTTTTTTATTGGTTATTTACCATGGAATTTAGGCTTTTGTTTTCCTCTGAAGAAAACAACAGGTAAACAAGTTATCACAACTTGACATGTGCTGGAACCATCAGCAACATAATGCATAAACAAGCAGTCCGACGCTAATCAAACACAGAGACATCCCACACCTGGCCAAAGTCCCCACGTATAATCTTTTAAATGTCAGGGCTGCTATTTGGGACTGCATGTACTGCAGAGGCGTTGCTGCTGTTTTATCCACCCCATGTAAGCCATGTTGCTCGCTGATGGCGGTCAGACACACCGGACTCGTACCTTTAACCACTTAATGTGGGCGAGGTTCGACTCATGCATTGGTGTGAGTAAGTGCTTCTGACGGGCAGTGTGAGGCAGACAGAAAACGAGAGAAAAAAAACAAGCAAAGATAAAAAGAACTTAGAAAGGGGGTGGAGCCAGAGGTGAGGAGAGAAGGGAGGTGAAGAGGGAATGACTCTCCACCCTGACTGCACAGAGGTTATGCAGAGGAAAAGAAAAATCTTGGTACAAGAGTAAAGCTGTTTTGTTTGGATAAAGACATTCTATGATTTGCAGTGTGTGTGAGATTCTGTGTCTCGACTAATCATGTTTGACCAGTGACGTTTGCATACTTGTTTCTCCTGCAGTGACCTGGCAGCCTCCTCTTGTGCAAGCACCATCTCTCGCTCAGTCGTAATCTGAACACTCTCTCTGAGGGCCTCCTCCAGCTCCTCGATTCGCTCAGTCTTCTGACGAAGAACGTCCTTTGGAGATTGAAGGGGTTGTTTTTTTTATTTTTTGTTTTTTTAGGGCATGCACACAGTTCAATGATCCACACATGCATCTTACCTTGACCTGCTGGGAATTCTCCGATAGATTGTCTTCCCTTTTTCTAGCTTCCTCCATCAGACGAGCGTTCCTGTTTTTCTCTACTTGCTCTTTGTGCTTTAGAGAAGCCACCTTCTTCGTCTGGTCCTTCGACTGCCTAAGAGACACAAAAAATAGGGGTTTAACCACCTGTTATTTAACAGTGAGTCTGGTGGTACCAGTTACTTCACTGTACTAATGCTGTAATGAAACCCCTTGGAGCTGGTTTCTATGGAGAAGAACTTGGATAGAGTTTGTTGTTTTGCTTTGAGGGCTGGATACTGATTGGGGGACGGGGGGAGAAGAAACAAAAATCATGCAAACTGTAAGTGAAGGGCTTCTGAGGCCTTTATGGTCAATCAACCCCTATTATTTCATGTATTTATTTTAATTATCTTTTTATTAGAAACATGAAACACTGTTCGCATATTAGGTTTTGAAACAGTGAAAAGTGCATATAGAGCCACTAAAAATGTACATGTTTTGTCATGTGGAGTAGCAATAGAAAGCAGAATTACTATTTAAATAACCTGGTCCTAATAGCTCAGGTAATTTAAAAAAAGATTTAAATGCACCAGAACATGGCAGTAAGCATTGAAGAGGTAGCAGGTACAGAGACACAGAGCATGAGAAATGTAAAATATAGTATTAAAAAAAAGTAGAGAAAAGTGAAAATACTAACCTGGAGGCCAAACTGGTGCGATGGGAGAGTTTAAATGTAGAGACAAAAAAAACAGTTAGGAGCTAATCTTAGAATTAGAGTGAATGTGTAGAGTAGAAAAAGAGGAAAGATTATAAACACATTGAAGTAAGAATTATATCTGACATGGAAAGGTTGCCAGTTTAAAAGAAAAAAGCAAACTTCACAGTAGACAAACCAGCTCTGTGACAGTAACTTTCACTGTAGGAGCCAAAACTAGAACAGGTCTGCAGACTACATCAGCTTTTAAACCATTAGTGCTCTAGCTGACCAAATTACACTAAAATCCAACCTTCACTGTTCATTTGATGGTTTAATTTCTGGATCAGCTTTCACTCTTCTATATATAGTTTTGTGATATTCAGCTTTTTTTTCTCTTTACATTCCATTCAATCTTCTAATTTGCTGCTGCTGTTAAAGCAGCTAATTTCCCTGTTATGGGATTCACTTTGTATCTTATTGTGTCTCATCTCACGTATCAAAGTCTACAGATGAAATTAGTGTTCTTAGCTTGTGTGAAAACCAGCCACTGGCCGACTCTGAATGAACTATTTGAAACCCTCACCCTTACACAATCATGCATTTGAGTCGACTAGAGGTAGCACTAATTAGACAGCTATTTCAGTTTACCACGTATTTTACACAGCAGGGAGGGAAACAATTACAAACGCCCTGGTTTTACAGTGCAAATGTACGTTTAACAGAGCTACAAGCTAAAGCTTTTTATAAAGAAACATACTGCACATTTATACTACGGTAAATCACCACAGGCTGTAGCCTATGAAGAAATAAAGGTGAGGTCGAGGGGTACAGTCTGTTCTCTCTTTTGACAACAATAACAGTGAATATCCCCTGTAAGAATACAAGTGACGACAGCATCGTTTCCACTCACCTCTCCAATTCGCTAATTTTTTTATCTTTGTCATTTTTTTCATTTTCCATTTCCCGAAGGATCTCCAGTAAGCGGTCCACCTCAGCCTGGGCCTTCCCAGAATCTTCCTTGTGGCGAGCCACTTCCTGCTCAAGGTTCTTAATGCGCATGGCTAGCTCAGTGTTGGCCTGCGCCTCCAGGGTCGCGTTTTGAGCCTGAAACAAAGAGAGGGCTTGTAAAAGGCAACTGTCATGCTGAGTTAACCATGTTATTGCTTAGCCATTTCCGTTAAACATCTTACTCTCTTAAGTTGGCTCTCCAGTTTAAGGCATTCCTCCTTCTTCTGCTCCAACGCAATCTCCAGACTCTTGAGTTTTGAATCCTTCTTCAGACCCGAGGAGGCCAGAGATGATGCGTGCTCCTTCAGGTCCAACAGTGAGGTCTTAACACACAAACGCAAAACAACATACAGCATAAGAATCAAAGTTTCAATGAACAAGTTCTATCTTTAAAGATGCTGTAGCGTGGAACTGAAGAGACAGACAACACAAAGATAACATCCATGACTTATCATAAAAGCTGGGATAAAAGGAAGAATATTCATCAGTTCAAGTGTGAGTGTGTTTTTTTCGTCACGTTCCCACCTCTCTGTCTGACAGATCTCCCTGCAGCAAGCTCAGCCGCTCCTTTAACTCTTTCAGCTCTTTTTTATTACAATCCAGCTCCTCGGTTTTTTCCCGGTCGTCTCGATCTCGCTGCTCCTTAAGACGCTCAATGATACGCTCCTGTGTGAAGGTCCAGGATACAGGAATGTAGTCGTAAGCACACTTTTTTTCATATGCAACTCAATTCAAACGCCTCATTTTTTTGGTAAAAAGTTGGGCAATTTTGGATCTTTTATTTTACCTTCTCTGCCAGAGACTCCTCCAGTGTGGTGAGAGCTGTGTCAGTGTTGGAGGTGTCCGCTTGTAAAGACTTAACCCTCTCTTTTAGGCTGCTCATCTGCTTCTCTTTGTCCCTCAGTTGCTCCTGGAGGTTCTCAATCTACGAAAACAAAAAAATCTGTGTGAGGTTCCGCAGAGGAGCTTAGTGACAGGATTACTGATTATACGAAATACAAAAATATACAAAAACTAAATGTAGTTTTTTCAACAACATTTTGCTTTAATTGACTTCACCTTCTTCTGAAGCACGTTAACTTTACGCTCCTTAACGTCCAGCATATCTTTGAGGTCGTGGATTTCCCCGTTAAGTGTGCCCTTCTCTTCGGAAATTTCTTGAATCTGCTTGCTTTTCTTATTAAGAGTTGCCTCTTTTTCCTCCAAACGCAGGCGTAAGGCATCAACCTTGGGTAGGATATGGAAGATTACACAAGGTTACACAGCAGCTAAGTCACTCAGTAGGTCAGAGAGATATTTATACACATATTATACACAATCTGATTTTTACCCATCATCAACAATCAGCCATAATATTATATTACTTGCATATATACATGAACTTGTTAACAAAACACAAGTGGGAATCACAAGTCACAAAGACAAGGCTAATACTGAACCAGTAAATAACTGTCTCCATATACAGTGTCTAAGATACACGTCGTCTGTACCTCAGTCTGTAAAATGGCAGCTCGCTGCTCCTTGGCTGTGAGAGACTCTTTCAGAACGTCAATGTGTTGTTTGCTATCTGAGAACTGATTGGTGAGGGTCTCTAGTTTGGTCTGCAAACCCAGCAGTTCTGTGTCCTTCCTGGAAAGGTCCTGTTTAACTTGTTCCATCTAAACAAAGGGGGGCAAACAGTGAGATTTCATCATTAGTTGGCTCTGAATTACAGCCAATCCAGTCAAAGGTCATCAAAGGTCACCTTGTTTTTCATGAACTTGGTGTGGCTGCGATAAACTTCCATTTGCTTCATCTCCTCCTGACGCTCCTCACAGCTCAGAAGGCCATTGGATTTCATCATGAGTAGCTCCTCCTCCATGTCCCTCAGATTCCGCTCCATTGAGTTGATTTTCGCATCCTGTGTTCAACACAGAAAACACACAGAATGAACACGTGTATCATTACAAAATTAGCACACACTTAAATTTGTTCAAATTCCCCACCTTCATGTCAATAACAGTTTGCAGAGCCTTAGTTTTAGTGGACTCGGGGGTTCCCTCATAACGGCGGTGCAGCTCCTGTTATGTCAATAAAAAAGCAAATCAAAGGGAAAAAAATATGAAGATTAAGGCTATTTTTGCTACGAAATTTTGTCAAAAAAAAAACAAATTTGCTGAACATTGGGCCTAAACAGACCTGGTGAGCGTTCACCTCCTCCCTCAATTTCTGTAAAGCTAGTTTTCACCTGAAATTAGCCTGACAAGTGTTCGTTTAGCTGGATCCTGTATAACTGACTTCACCAAACATGACAAGGTATAAATACATACTACTGCATTGTATCATCATTTACTGTGCCTGGCTGGACAGTGTCGTCTAGTCCTACTAGACAAACTATTGTTTGTCATACTGGCGGTACTTAAAAAAACAAATATTTTCAGCAGTGGTATGTGTTATAACAAACTCAAGAACAACTGTCCTCAGACATTTGACAATATTTTCTAAAAATACAATAGGAATCTAAAATCCCAATAAACAATCAATAAAACAGAAGGACAGAAAGGTTTTGAAAAACCCTTAACCAAGGTTCCCCATTCTTACTTCTCTTAGTGCGGTAATCTCTCTATCTCTCTGGTCCAACAAACTCTCAAGGTGATGCCTGTGCATCTCAGCATCTGCTAGCCTCCTGGTTCTCTCCTGGTCCTCTTCAGATGCCTTGGCAGAAGGTCCTTAAACAAGGAATGTAAAAAAAAAGAAAAAAAAGAAAGGTTTCCATTATGAGTAGATGAAAAAACACTTGACAAACAATACTTCTCTTTATTAGTATCAGAACAAGGTCGGTGCGATATAACCTTTTCATGTCTGATACCAACACTGCAAACCGGAGTGTCTGCCAATACCGATATAAATCTTTTTTCCTCGAGTACGTTGCAGGTTGCTGTTGCTGAAGCGAAACTGTCCCCGTTTACAGCATGTCACCCCAAGTTAAGATCAAATGGGCTGTAGATGTTTTTTTATGATGATAAATCCTGAAATTTTGACCAATATGAGATTAATACCGATCTATCAGGCGGAGCCATCCCGTATTAGTACTAGTCTATACTGGTATTAAGTTTACTATTACTACTAATATCATACAAAGTAGAGACCGTCATATTTAGAACTTTAGAGCTATTAGAATGTTTGTTAATATCGTTAAATACAATTTTTTTATAGTTATTTATTGAGAAAAATAATTAATTTCTATGACGTTTAACATGACTCTCAGACTTTCTCCTGCGAAGCCAAACTACCTTTGCTCTGCAGCATCTCCAGAAGTTTTTTAATAGATTCATCTCTGGCTCCCAAGGTCTGCTTCTGAGTGTCAATCCTTAGCTCCATCTCCTCAAGGGTCTTCCTCAGGAGGAAGAGCTCTTTGGCTTGCCTCTCATGCTCAGCTTGTAGCCGTCTGTAGTTCTCCTCAGTGGGTTCGGATGTCAGGGCCAGGTCTCGGCTTTGGCTGGCGGGATCCTGCTGTAGCAGCTGATTTAGATCCCTTTGGATTCTGAGCTCATCCTGAAGGGCTTGAACTGTCATCTGAAGATGCTGGAGACAAACAGAGGTTGTGTGTCAATTGCAAAACTATTTTTTAGCCTTTGCCACAAAGTGATGTGGAAGGCCAAGGTTTTGGGTCGGAAAGTGTCCACATAAAACTGACTATGCCTAGTGGATTATTGCATGTCTAAATATCACTGTGTTGAAAATCATAAAATTTGGTAAGGCCATGAAAACAGTCTCTGTGGGTAGCCTTACATTTTGTGACCAGACAAATACACGTGAAACACAATCAGCCCAGTGTAGTATTGCATTGTTTGTGGTATGTGATGCCACGGACACTTGGCAGCACTGCTCTGTCACAGTACCATGAGGCTGTGTTACACTCTGGTCTAAATCAGCTTTTACTGTTTCCATACAACAAAAGAAACAGAGAAGTCAGTGTTTGTCTTCTCCGCCTCCCCCACCGTCTCTCAAGCCTCCACCCTTTCACTAGTCCTCATTCTGCATGGGGTGCATACCATTCTCTGCCTATTTATCTGCTTTTCCTGCTCTCATCCTATCTCTTCCCTCCAACCCTCTCACCTTCCCTCTTTTCCCGTCACTCTCTGTGGCTGACTCACAGCTGTGACTGCAGTGACCAACCCCTCTAACACGCACTCAGACAAACCCACATGTACAGACAGCTTCTCTTGTCCCACACCTGCTTCTTACCATTGCTGCTCAAGGAGAGACCAACAGACGGGCATTTGAGAAATCACACTGCATGAAAGGTGCTGCATTTACTGGATGATTTAACTGATAAGTTAAAGCAAATATACATAATTACAAAAGTGCACATTTCAAATGATTTATCAGATTTTCAAGGGCTGGGACAACACACTAATTTGATTAATTAAATAAGGTGGCGTTAATGCCACTAAGGTCAGTTTACCAGCTGCAGCAGAGAAAATACACAGAATACATTAGGTGATGACAGCGCACAAGAACTTTTGCTGAGTGACAGTAGTCCTGGTACAGTGAACCAATGTAGAGCAAAACTGGTTGATGTTGACTGATCTGTGAATGTAGTAGACAAATGAAAAAGGTGCACAAATAAATAGTGAGGAATATGTTTTGTTTTTGTTCATAATTACAACTCTGTTTACCCTTGGCTACAATAAACCAGAATGTATGTTTTTTAAAATGGAATATATTTAAACTGTTTGCCAAAGTTTTGTATACTGGTGTGTACTGTATGCAGACTGTAGGATCTTTCAGTACATTTTGACAATGCACTAAAATGTGAACAAACATTTTGTTCTTTATGACTTGGAACATATTTTTTAGACATGTTGACTGCTCTTATTTTTATTTCGCATTTATTTATAGTTAACTTAAAATAAAATGTTATTAAAATACAAATATTTTATTCTTAATATAGTAATTTATTTATTTTTAAGAAATTCAAGTGTTTATTTTTTTTTATCTTAACATTATACTTTAAGCTAATTTAAGGTAGCGTTCTGCTCATGAATCATCCACTGTGCCCACTGCACAATCCTCAGCAGTAAACATAAGGATAAGCACAGAGCTGAGAGTTGGACTTCTGCTAATGAGCGCCTGCAGTTTAACTAAGCCATCGTTAACCGAATGCCTTTGAGTGTCCATGTGTGTGTTCAGCTGCATGATGGCAAGTGTTGGAGGTGGAGACCAATTTACAAAAGCAGACATCTTTAAATTACGGCAACCAATAATTTGCCCTGTTCCAGTTGGACATTACTGGGAATTAGTTCTCAGTGTGATTCTGTGACTCAACAACACTGAAAACAGCAAATTACACAGGCGGGCCCAACCGTTAACAGAAAACAATTTCTATTTTTTTTTTTTTATTATTCCAGTAATTTAAACATTTGAAGTTAAAAACCTCTCTTTCAATAACTATGTATATATGAAATGCAAATTAACTGTCAAAATAAGAAGATGTAACATCTGATCTGAACAGGCTACTTAAACAAATCTTTTCACCCTGCATAATTAATTTCACTACTATTGAATAATAACCTAACTACAAGTATTGTACATTTAACACAGAAGGAACCCTTCCACCAGTTTCTTTAGCATACAGAGATGCTAATGTGTCCACCATTACTTGTTATCTGTTTGGCATAAGCACACAGTGCTGTATTAGAGGGTTTCCCAAATGTAAAAACGTGGATATTTGACCAAAACTGTAAAATACTGTAATTCTACAAACTATTTTAACAGTCATGAGTAGACACTCACCTGGGCTTCATCCTGAATCACACGGTATTGTTCCTTCCAGACAGTAATCTTAGAAACTTCATCTTTCCTAAGAGCCCTCTCTTTCTTCAGCTCTGGGCTCCAAAAGGTCTTAATGGAATTCATGGAGGAACTGAGCTTGCTCTCCTTGACTTCCACCTCCCGTCGCAGGATCTCGTTCTCACGCAGAACCTAAGGAGACATCCAAAGATTATTAACAATTTCTCTACAAACGAAGAGAGAATGCAAACGAAACAGTAGCTTAGCTTGATACCTCTTTGAGTTGGGCTTGAAGATCAAGTATCGTGTTGTCTCTGGCCTGCCTCAGAGAATGAGGCACTGTGGAGGCCATGTGATGGTCTCCAAATGCAAGCGCATCACCCACCATCATGCCTGCTGGTAACACAGCATTCGCAGCCACTGAGGTGGAGATGTTCGGAGTGCTAGCAGCCACCACCCCACTGTTGCTGCCCCTGGATCCATATGTCATCCTTTGCCTGCTTATTGTTGTCACTGGCCCACCACTCTTAGGAATATGGTCCCCTGCCATTGCAACCTCGTTGTCACTCAGGTACATGGGTCCTGAGGTGGCATATGCAGCATTGAGGGATTGTATGTTCTCCATGGAGAGAGTCTTGCCCCCTGCTCCACCGGGTCCCCCACCGCTGCCTCCGGTGCTGTTGGTACGTCGATGACCCATTCGTGGAGAGCAGGGAAGGCGAGGAGATCGACCAGAGCCCTGATTCCCAGCACTACCTCCATCTCTTCCTCCACTATGGTTGGCATCACCTTTGCCAACAGACCGAGAACTGCTGTACATCTTTGGCTAAATGAGACTGTGTCTTAACCTGCGTAAACCTGGAGTATGATCGCGAATCCTCTAATATCTGTTGAAGTTTATTTTGATTTAGTTGGTGGGACTTCAAATAAGTAAATGACAGTGTGGTGTTGGTGGTGCTTCAACTGGAGGCAGTCCTCATGAGCATCATGATAATATTGATTTATCCAAATGTAAGGTCTCCAGAACAACAAACCAATCTGCAAAGACAAGTTGATCTTTATTAATAAAGCCTTCACTTCATAATGCATTAATAACAGATAATATGTTCACACTGCAGGTTACTTCATTTCTGTTCAGATAGTCTTTTTAAAAAAATCTAATGCTGGTCACACACGAGCAAGAAAGTAAACTTTGGGCCAGTACAGCAGCACTTTCAACATTTAAATACATCAATAAAATTATCAAAAAAAATTAATTAGAATAAAGTGACAACTATATCAGACAAGAAAATTCACAGGGAGTACCTCAGATTCATTCACACTCAATCAACTGATTTTAAATGAGAACTATTAGATTGCACTGATGGTGCAATCTAATATTGATTGATTGCACCATCAATCAATATTAGATTTTAAACAGAGATTTTTTTTTTACCAATAGATCAATTTCAGCATTTTTGCTGCAAAAAAACCCATTCCATTTATTTTTTTGACTATATAAATTGTGTAAAATATGGTCTTTGCTAATAACATATAAACATCATAAAGTATGATGAAAAGGCACTTTACTTCTGACTTCTTTTTTAAGATATTGGCAATAACAGCTGAATTGTAGAAAGCCTGTAGAAAACTCTGGGTCCATTATTTCTTTCAACAGTGAATAATTAACAGTCACACAAACATGGCTGTGGGTGTTTTCACAAATTCACACTGCACTAATTTACCAAAGAATCTTGTGACATTTTATAATATTTGATTATGTTTGTAATGCAATATTTGTTTTATCATACTTTTAACAAATTCATAATTAAATGAATGTGTTGGTTATGTGCTTTAACAGCAGGGACATGTCTCTTTTGTCTAATGCAATGCTGAACAATCAATCATTTGAGAAGCTATAACTGTTAGTGGGTAATGTTTACAATCCATCTGCCCCATTAATGTATAGACGTGTTTGACTGGTGCCCATTGTATAGTAAAGGACCCCTTTTCAACAATAACAAAACATTTTGACACTATCTGCCCACAAATCAGGTTCATTCTAACCAAAATAAATGTCACTCACATTATTGTAAACTACTAATGTGAAGTTGTATTTCTAATTATGTCAGAAACAGACAAAACAAATATAATATAAATGACTAAGACAGTAGGTTGCCACACGAGATGGTACTTTGTCACTACCATTTTAGACCCATTATGCGACTTCTATTCATAACTTCATAACACTGTCAATCATGGATTTATTTTTTTAATCCATGCGATTTAGTTGCATTAAAGAAAATTTGTTTAAATAATCACTCCCCCATTCACGGTAAGGTATTAATAAACAATAACAATTCTTTAGGCATGAATGGCTTCATCAGTTTTTAGCTAAATTTCCACCAAGGCAGTTCATCGTGGCCTTTCAGAGCTGCTAATGTTGCCGGCTAACGGTTTAACAAGACGATTTAAATGTTTTAGGTAGCACTTGAAATGAGACTTGATTCTGTCCGAGAATGACGTAAATATATTTTTCTGCGGACTACATTCCACATACCTGATTTTTTTTTTATAGCTGACGCTGTGGATCAAACCTAGGAGAGGCAAAGGGATTGCCCATGATAGATATAAGAAAAAGGTTAGTTTAGTCAATGAAACAAAAACAAATGAGACCTCGAGAATTAATACTTAAATACGTTTAGTGGTCATTTGCTTGGATGCTGTGTCATACAAACTGACGTTTTTAAGCTTAAGAATTTAATATATAGGCATTTTCTAGCGACAGCAACGGAGTCTGAACTGGAGACACCCATATTTAAACAGCCATTCTTCGAGTTTTAATTTTACGCTACATTTTACCTTTATTTAAAGGTTCACGTTATTCAATAAATATCCATTAATGGTAAGTGAGGAAACTAAACAATCAAATGCATCTAGCAGTTAGCGTTAGCTGGCTGTGACATACGGAGGCTAGTTCATCCAATTTATGTGGTCAGGCAGAGCCTCCGTTTTTTTTCCTCGCTAACACAATAGCCAGTGGTGAAAACCGGTCCAAACAAACTACCTTTCTTGGCGTCGGCCGTAGCTCACACCGGTGTGAGAACTAAATACTCCCTCGATTAGGCAAGTGGGCTGCAGCAGCGGTCATTTTATGTCAATTACACGAAAGGCGTATATCACATTTGGCCATCTTTTCAGCAGCAGCAGTGGCTCAGGAGAGCCAGGACGCCTCAGTGACGTCAAGCCTCTTGTGCGCGTTCACGACAGCCTTACACGCCACGCTAGACTTTTACGCGCGGTAACGAGCGATACAGCAGGGTAGGGTGAAGCTGAAGGCAGGGTGGTTCGAAAAGCAGGCGAATGCTTTGAATTCCATACTACCACGGAGACCATACACAAACGATAGTAAAACTTTTATTTGTTTGATAAAAAAAACTGTTATCGTTCTAAATGCACCTGGAATACAATATTAAGACCATAGCACAGTGAGAAAAAGAAAACTTGTATATTCTTAAATTTAGCCATGGACAATTGCGAGGAGAACACAGAATGTTGATTACATATACATTAATTATTTTGATTTAATTGCTAATATTGTTTGTATGTTATTTTTAAGTTATTAAGTGGTAAAGCCTTTTGACAGGGAAAGAAATCTACAGAAATTACATTTTGAGGTTGTTTTTTTCACCTGTACAATAATGTAGACAAGCTGTCAGTTTCTGAAGAAGTTATTTTTATTCATCACAGTCTGTTTACAAGTGAAGACTACAGAAGTCTTTTATCTTATATTGTGGTTGGTGCAGAAAACCGGAGTCATTGTGGGGAACAGTTGTCATACAGTAAAACAGCAACATAGTTATTAACGACAAATAACGTTTTTCCATGATTTATTATACTATACTCCCGTTGAACCTGATTCAAGCATTATTTTTAACCTGTAAGAGAATATACACAGGTGAATGTGCTCTGTGAAAATAATTGCAGTAAATTTTATAATGGTGGTTGATACATTGTTAATAAGTCTTTTCAGTCAAGTCTTGTAAGCCACTAATGCCTCAGCTTTGTCGACAGCTCAGAAGTTTGTCCACCTTTGTATGTCATAATTGTTGATATTCTCAAGTACAGTATAATTTTATCTCTTGTTTTCAGTAGAATTTGAACAATGCGTAGGTGTGATCCCCGAGAATGGGTGGAATCTTCCATAGGCATATGTTATGCTTAGAAATTCCTTTTCAATCTGTTTTTAATGTCCTGACATTTGTTGAAAACGTCTGATGAACATGCAACTGCTCGCCAATTGCTGTATTTTTGAAGAACAGCTCCCACTCCACTTTGTGTTGCATCTGAATATACTGTATCTTTATGGGTTTTAATGGGTCATAGAACCTTAACATGGGTTCTTTCATGAGTAGAATCTTTATGTTCTTGACTCCATTTTTGCTCAGTCTTTTTCTCAGTGGGGTGTCTCAGAGAAGCAATTTTTCCAGAAAGATTTGCTATGATCTCAAGTATGTATTTATCATTCTATTAAACCTCTGCACATTGTATTTGCTTTGAGGCTCTGGCATGTTTGCAATACTGACATTTTTGGGGGTCAGGCCTTATGCCCTCGCTGCTCCCTCAAATGTTAGTTCTCTGATGTTTTGCTGGCATTGCTCCTTATTTATTATAAAGGATGTTTTTTCGCCTTTCATCGATCTCTGGTTTTTAACTCCCCATATACTGTATGTTGCATCCATAGTTCACGTCATCCTTGACCTTTTTTGCATATATCTTTTCTTCTTTTCTCCTTTTTTTGTGTCACTCTTCAAAGTTCTCCTTTCACTATTTCACCCTCTGATATATTTTATCCACCTATTCGCTGGAATTATGCCATTTGTTTGTCAGGCACTTTTGACAAATTTCACATTGTTTTGTCCTTTCCATCTCTGTCTCTCTATTTAGCCAACCAGTACAAATACTTTTCTCATTATTTACAGCCCAAAAATTAATACAACTTATTAAGGCCTTCTGCTTTGCCACTGTTCATGGCATTTCTACCCCATGTATTCCAAATTTTATTTGCTGCCTTCACTCATCATAGTCAAATAAACTAACAAAGAGAAATTATTTGCAATGTAAATAAATTATTTGTAAATAAATAATAGTTTTCTGGCCACTTAAGTGAATTGGATTATTTTCCATAGTGCACCTAATGATCTTTCACAGTGAATGGGAATCACTGTTCTCTCTGTAGTATGGACCTGAGAAGAGCTGCAATAGACACAAGACACAAAACCTTTTTTTTATCTTCCAACATAACAATGACCCAAAGCATCTTTTTAAAATGTGATGAAGTACTACTAAAATGTCAAGGTGCTGTTATGACGTGGCCTTGATAAATTTGTGATGCAATCAATTTTTACGGGAAAAAAAATAGTAAGTAGTGTAGTCTTAACTTTGTTTATCTAAATGTGACAATTTTTATAAACAAGAGAAAATGAAGATGTCCCGAATTTAGAATTGTGACCAGAAACATTTGTGCAGATTTTAAGTGCATTTTACATGAAGTTAAATATTTTCGTATAAATAAATAAAAAAAAGTACTATGGTAAGTTGAAAATTAGACATCCGTGTTTTCCATATATAAATAACTTCCTTCATGGATTAAAAACCTTAAATGTACTGTATATGCGTCTACCAGATGGGGGCAGTGCTTATCCGTCAAAGAACGTCCAGCACAATTACTGTCAGATTACTGATATACAAGTCTCCCCTTCCCTTCCCCGGTTTCCCCCCATACAAGGTCTAGTAAATTAAAATGTCTTAGTAAGACTGAGAAAATGGTAATGTAAAAATAATGTATATCTCATTGTTGTCGTAGTCCACAAAGCTGTGCCGCAGAATTTAAATTGGATTCGATCTTCCATCCCGTTTAAACTTATCTTTATTAGTCATAATTACATAGTTACACAGTATGTATCAAAGTATAATTGTTATTATTGTTACTCAGTTAATATAAAATAAATAATTGTGATAATAAATAATTAACTCTTAACTATTTACCTCCAAGCACCGAATGATATACAGATGTATAGAGCATATTAGCAATTATTTGCCCATTGCAAGACAAGCCAGTACAGTTGAGTTGACCTTCTTTTTGTGTCCTTTTTGTTTTAATATTTTTGAACAGTATTAGATTGGCATCTTGTCCAAGATTATGGCGAGTTACAGCACCAACAATCACCAAGACTAATGTATGGCATCTTTCTCTTCAATGACTCATTCAATATGGCGGCAGTTTGTCGCATTCTCGAAAAGGCCCCAATGACTCGTTCCCTCAGCGAGATTATAACTGCCATTTACGGTCTACTTCTTTTAGTGGTAAATAATTACACCCATATAAACAGTCCAGCAACAAAATAAAATAAAAATGCAGAAGGTTGTCTCTGCGAATACCCACGATTACATATAAGACCTTGAAGTTAATTTTATAGTTTTAAACTATCATACTGACGCTAGTTTAAAAAAGTAAATTTTGGACAAATATTTCCATTTTTTCCTTAATTAAAAAAACGTATATTTAAACATTACATTGTGAAATTATAAAAAAAAAGGAATATTTAAACATTACATTGTGAAATTATACATTGTGTATACATGTCTGTACATTTATTTCGGGGAGTCACATTGATTATTTTAAAATAAATAAATAAAATAAATCATATTGAAGTTATTCTGTTTAAAAAATCTGGGCCGTGCTATGTGTCTTTGTAACAAATGTTGCCCTCAGAGTAAATTTCTCAATCGTTGTTTAAACTATTAAAATGAGTACAAGTCAATGTAGTGACAGGAATACCAGAGTAAATCAGTACTGTATGTATCTAGGTATAATGAGGTCATTCCACACTTGCGCATGCGCTGGAGGAAAAAGCAGTGCTCTAGTCACTGTGCAGCAAGTGCTCGGCATGTTTACTGTGACATCCGTCATGTGACGTGTTGGACTCTATAAGACTAATGTTAACGTGTTAACGGTTCGTAAAAATGTTGAAACGGACTTCCGCCGCATGGAGTCGTACTGAAGGGCGACAACAGTCTGCTATGCTGTGGGTAAAATATTGAGGTACGTATGTCCGCTGTCTGTCAGCCTCCCGGTGTTACAGGCCTTTTGCTTTCTACATCATCTAATCCCGTGCCTGTTCAAAATTTACAGAACTATAAATGTATTTGTAAAGTTCGTGATTTATGTTTCGATCTAATTAACTGGAATGTAAAGGAACGTTTGTCAGAGACTGAAACAGACTGAAAGACTTAAGTAAATAACTACAAACAGTCTGATTGGACAATGACAAGTGTTGGTGTTTGCTTTTGGATTCCAATTGTATACAATTATATTAGAAATAAAATGTTAAATTATCTCAAATTTTACTAGTTCATGACTAGCAACAATAATAATCAAAACAAATATATTAATAAGAAATTAGCAACATACCCAATACATTGATTTAATGTGTTGTCATTTGTCTGGGTAATGTGAATGTTTGGCTGTCTGTGTAAGGCAAAGATGTGAAAAGATATAAAGCCTATATTTGCGCAGATCAAAGAGTTCAAAGGAGTTGTGCTGAATAGAAAAGAAAGAACGGGTCCAACATTAACCGTGCTATAAAAAGCCACTAAACCAAAACAAATCAAAGAGAAGTAGGTAATATATTTACTTTAGATAAAGAAAAAAAGGCAAAGGTGTTTATAATGGTTAGAATATATCTATCTATCTATCATTATTTAGGTTTAACGGTGGTGGTATGGCGATATAGTGTTGACAGAACGATCGTTCTCTGAGTGAGACAGGACGTCAAAGTCGTCAGTAGTTTGAAAATTTGACCTATTTTCTAAGCAGGACGCACAGCTGCTCGGAAACCGGAAGACGTGCAACCGGTACCTCCGCATGCTATTCTGTAATCGAATCGTCACGCAGAAATTGGCAGATAATCATCTAAACATTGTCAGGTATTGCTAAAGCAGACTATAGCAACATTTCACCGTCTTGAAAAAAACGTACGCCGCGTAACTAAACCGGTGCCTGTGTTTTTAAATCGTCAGACAACGTCAAATTGAAAAGTGTCAGTTGGGAGGTGGGTCTAGCTTTGTAGGCCATCTGGAAGACCCGCCTAGCGCAGCGAGCTGTGCGGCTCTGGCGTTATTTGTCAACTGCCTGGTGTCTTTCCAACCGGCGTCACACAGAGCAAACGGGTCTGCTTTAAAATGCTACATCCGCTTGGATGGATACGGTCGAGGCGTCAGTAAACAATGGATACCACGTATTAACGCCTAGTGGTATGGTAAAACGACGATTATTGGTGTCTGTTATGAATAAAGTAATAATTGTACCGTAATACCACCATGGAATATATTTAGAGAAGATGAGAATGAGAATTGATTGATCGGTTGTTAATGTCTGGATTAGCTGATGGCAGCTAAGTGCTAGCGGTGCTCGTTAGCAAGCTAACAAAGAGCCTGCTGGCCCTGGCTTCATACGCTTATTTTGTTTCTTACTGAAATGCGTTACTTTCACTCTTAAGATGGTAAGCAAGGCGGTAGGTTTGCACCGGTTAAAGTGCATAGATAATGAATCTGCTACTCTGTTAAATTAATGGTGACGTTACTGCAGCTAACATTGACAGCTCGACTTATGAAATTGTGGTTAGTTGCGCAGGGAATGGCTGCAGCCGTGTCAATGTGTCTTTAAGAATAATTGTACATAAGTAACAACCATGCATATCTATTGCAGTAATTTTGTTTTTACGAAATGGCTCTGTTTTAACGAAGCACATGTGAAATGTTTTGATAAATTCACAGACAACATACATGTTGCAGAAATATGGTAGCCGCTTCATTGATGGATGTAGTGATTTGTGTATTTATTGTGTTTTTATTAATTCTATTTGCTTATTTAGTTTTAGCGATTGCTGAAATTGTCAGTGCTCAGTTGCGTTCAAGTAGTAGCTTGTGTTGTTACAAATAAGACCTTGTAGTAGTCTAGTCTTGCCCTCGCTGACAAACTTGTCTAATGTGCATGTATCCTTTAACAATAACGACAACAAAATATATTGAGAAGAGCAAACTTTGAAAGACTTGACAATTTTGTCTTATACACTACATTAAATTCTGAAATTCTAAAGCAAGTGTTTGTCAACTCTGCTTATGTGTAAATATCTGTTATTACATTTTATGTACACTGTAAATTCTACTTTGGAATATAAGACCGGTCTCTTTTAAATCTTGTTGACATTTGACATATTGTTGGTTACTTTACAAAACAAGTCTGACAAGCTTTTTTTCATTTCAGTTGCAGCAAAGCTGGACTGTAACGTACCCGGATTGTCCTGCTACACAACCATTGCCTACAGTGGGAGGTTTGCAGGCTGCTTTACATCGTTGCTGTTTTCTGACTGAAGATTCTACATGCTTGAAAGCATCTGCTCCCAGGGTCTGACACAATGGATGGTGTGGACCTAAAGACACTTGCATATGAATGTCAGCACTGTCGATCTTGTCTTGGAGTTAAAACTTTTTTTTCCCCCACTTACAAGAGAGCTTCCTTCTGTCCTACCTTCCCAGTTTCTGCACTGTATGTGTGTGAAGAGATCATCTAAAAGCTGTTAAAAAAAGGCAGCTGTAGATTTGCGTTATCAGATAAGCACAGATAATTATAAATAAGAGAGTCTCTGTGATGGACATGGGATTTTCCTTTATGGATTGGTTTCAATAACTAGTAAGCCCAAATCCTTACTGTAGGTGGTGGGATGTCGAAAAATCAAGACGACAAAATGGTAAAGTTTTTGGCCCCTCCTCAGAAGGGAAATAGCCCTAGTACTGGGTCAGACTCAATGATGAGTGAGGGTCGGCCATCAGAAGTAAGGCGTAGACATCATACCATGGAGCGTGACAGGTGTAACCCCGAACATCGTTTTTTGCGGCGTAGTGTTATCAGCGATTCCAATGCTACAGCGTTGGCACTCCCTTTACCTAGCAAGATTCCAATCCCTTTGCCTCCAACATTTCTGCCCCAGGAAGCCATTCCACAAAGGCAACAGACTGCTGCTGCTCACTTGCAACATACTGATGCAAGTTTAATTGAAAATGAGATATCTGCTGTTCATGAAAAGGGACAGGTAGAAAGAAAAGAAGGAGAAGCAGTCGAGGAGGATGTTGTGCCTTTTAAACAGGAGCCTGCCACTGTACAGGATATCTGCGATGGCGAAGTGGTAGTCGCATCACACTCTGTGCCGGAACTAGGAAGTGCATTGCCAAGTCAAACACAAGATATATCTGAAGTTAAGGTACAGCTTTTGGAAGGAGAAGAAGAGGATAAGGAATCTGTCAAGGCCCGAATAGAAGCAGAGCAGAGAGAAGCAGAGAAAAAAGTGGAGGATGATACAGAAGAGGCAGAGACCAAAGCAGTAGGAACATCACCAGATGGACGTTTTCTTAAGTTTGATATCGAAATTGGACGTGGCTCCTTCAAGACTGTCTACAAGGGCCTGGATACAGAGACCACAGTGGAGGTGGCCTGGTGTGAACTGCAGGTATGACAGTCCTTTATTCAACCTTTTTGCTATAGACCTTGCCAAAACCCTAAAATAAGTTATAGTCATGTACACAACATTCTAATCGTTGTCTTATAAATTGATTTTATATTTCTAATGAAACATATTGGTATATCTCATGTTAGAAGAGCTCAAGAAATACATGAAACTTTTCAAGCTGCTCTGCTTCCTATAGCAGTTTGTCCTTGTCCACAGCATGATATTGCTGGGGTAACATCTGTATTCTTTTATAAGAGACATAGGCCCCCCACATAAGCTTATATAGCAGCTCAAGTAGAGTAGTTTAGCAGTGCAAAAGCTACACAAGCACACTGGTTCCTCATTGGAACAATGTAAAGATTGAAGGCATGTGCCCCTCCCCCCTCACAAAGAGCAAGTCATGCGCATGCTCTTTTGGTTTCTGCTCCAAATGCTTGTGTGAATGTAAAATGGGTCACATTCCTCAACAAGGAATCTCCTGTGTGAAGCACACCAGGCCGGTCTGCCTGCCAAGGCCTGTTTCTCACTCTTCCTCCCAGAGTTGAATCTTTTAAAATTTTATTCCCCCTTTACTTGTTAATTTGTTACAAATTCCATTTCAGAGTGAGATACAAAAGAAATGTGTTTAATGCTCATAAAATACATATTTTTGAACATGAAAGAGTAAATGCAAGTGGTCAACTGACTACATTTTTGAGACATTAAATAAATGCCTGGTAAATATTAAGTTTGTATTATTGTTCCCTTATGTTTAGACTTGGTTATGAAACTAGTCCCACACATTGCCAGGAGTAATACAAGTACTTTATTTTCATTTAATTGAAAATTTTGATATTTGTCAATACATTTTAAGCTATGATAGTTTTGTTTAGATTCCACAAAAGTCATCTGGTGATGCAGGCGAAGTAAAATGAAAACCACAATCAAATTCTATCACATCTGGTATTTCATTTGGTTTGAAAAATATCTCAAAAGATGAAAAAAATATACTGCAACCACGTTGGTAACTGTTTGTATTGAAAAACTGAGCCAGTGGAAAGGGGATTTTTTTTTTTCAAATTTCAACAGTTGAATGAGACCCAGCCTTGTGTCAAATGCTTGTGGTCTGCTCTGAAATATGACCGTGTAACCTGACACTTATTCCCTTTTGCTGATTACTCTGCTTCAGGGTTTCAGTACGCAAAACCAGTAGAGCAGTGCAAAAGCAGAAATTCCCTCATGTGGTTGACGTTGTCCCGTGATCACTAAAGGGATGTTATTTCAACCCTTGAGTCCATGGAACACATAAATATAATGTGTTTAGTGCTTGTTTCAGTTAAGATTCAGGTGTGTGTTGACCTACTAATATGAAATTACAAAATAGATAAATCCAGTCTCAGTTGCTTTTTTTAGTGACATGTATGGAACATTGTCTACTTTAAACATTTTCAGTAGGTATTTCAATTTCTATATTTTCTTATTTCTTTTTTTTGTAAACCAGAATATATTTTGTTCTGATAACGTTCAAAGCCAGGCACATTGCTTAGCTGTTTATTGAACAATTATCAGTCTCCTAAAAGGCTAGGCTATCTCTGCTAACAAGCCTCAACCTTTTTCTTTGACAGACAGAGCTGGGATGCCGTTGCATTTCTTCCACTTATTAGCTGTTTCCCCTTGAAATCGTTTATCTTCAGAGGTGTCCTGTTTACCTGCAACAAAAATTGAAAAGTTTTAAAATTAAAACGTGACCTGAAGACCTGAAGCAAATATTTTATATATTTATATATATTTATAATATTTTAATATATTGATTCTGTTGATTCTGTTTTTTTTTAATTCTGCATGCATATTAGTTGGAAAGAATTAGGAATGTTGCTGGCAGCTTATAAGCTAAGCTAGCAAGTTTGAAAGTTGGCTATAGGGCTGGCAGATGTGTGGCACCTGGAATCTAGGACGAGTACGAGTAGTGATAAATCCAAACAGAATATCTGTTTTCTGAATACACCACCATTCACATGCCTATTGTATGTGTATGGTCTTACATGTGCTTTTACTAAAAAATGTTCAAAGAAAACGTTGTAGCATAAAAACATTCCAAAAGTTAAAATGATTGTAAATATATTTTCATGTGACCATTTAGAGATATTACCGTCCATGTTTCACTGTTGGGGTAATCTGTTTTACTTCTCCTTATCTGAGGCTAAAATAAAATAACTGTTAGAACTTTAGTTAAGTTTAAACAAATGCTTCTGACTTATTCAAAAAACCATCTGTCCATAAGCTCTGGAGCATTTGTCGGGATCCACCCCTTTTCACCCACACATTTGTTTTGAATCTCTCATCACAGGCATGTCTGAACAAAAGTAGGTCACCACACAGAGGAAGTTGAGGAATATGGTGAAATACATTTGGGAGCCTCCCATTTCTTGCTTACTCATCTATCTTCAACCATATCGTCATTGGGTATAGTCCTCCTCCTGTTGTGCCTACTGAGGCCAAATGTTGAAACAGGAGGAGAAACCTCCATTTCCAAGAGTTGTTAGAGCTGGCACACAGCTGACCGCTTGCATGTGCCATGAATGAAATTGATTGTTAAAATAAAAAACATAGAATTCTTAAATTGACTATTTTACATTTAAAATACCATTTATATCGGTCAAAGCAAATCTGGATGGGATTTTTAATTGGGTTACAATTATAAGGCCAAAGATTACAGTCACGAATCTTACTGTTAATCTTGTTCCTGTCTTTGTCCCTGATGTTAAAATACCTCCAAATTGCTGACATTGTTGACCTACTAAAATAAACTACCCTTGAGGTTAACCAGATGCTGATTTACAGTAGGAAAATACACAATGCTGACCATGCACAGCTGGTTGTTGTGAAAAGCCGTTATGAAGTAGTAGGCACCCGTTTGGCACATTTTTGAATGAAGTGTGAGCGTTTCGGACCCAATACTAATACTGCTATTGCCATTTGTGCATCCCTAAACACAATACCTGTCTTTTTGTGTATTTAGTGTGGCGTCTTAGAATGCAGGCACTGTGTAGATCCTAAACCATTTGAAGTTCTGTGGGTGCAGTATCAACCTTACAGAGCCTGTGACATGATCACAGACTGCTTTCAAGCAATCTTTCAGTAGTGTTGGATTATTAAGGCTTTGCCTTGAAGCTACCTATTCTGTTGATACCATAGATAACTGGCTTTAGATGTGTTTCAGATCTTCTGGAAAGGAGTGTGGTCATAAAATATCTAGATAGTAATAGCTTGATAAGTAGTTGGAAATATGATATGAAAGTCAAAACACCGCTCTGTCATAAATATTCTGTAAACATTACTGGTAATTGAACTTCACATTTCTGACACATTGTCATTAGGGCGCGGTGGAACAGTGTTTCATCTACAGCAAGAACCCCCTCAGCTTTAGGATTATCACAACAGCAATAAATATAATCTGCTCTTCTGGCCTTGTTTCTATGGCAACGGTAGCACAGAATAGGACAGATTTTATTTTTAGTCTTCTTTCTTTTTTTCTTTCTTTCTCAACAGCCATTGAAACAGAACCCTTTTTTTGTATGTGTATGTGACAAACCGATACTGGCTAATAAGAGTGTATTTATAAGTATGTGACAAACCGATACTGGCTAATAACCTTAAGTAATGTGGTTAAATAATAAATTAAATAATACAATTAATTTCACTCAGGCAAAGTTTTTGTTGTAATTGTTTGTTTCTGTTTCTCTTTATTGCTGATGAGAACAAAAGAAGTGCAGTTGACAACTTTAAAGCATACATCATTGATTTAATTCAGACACAAATTAAACTCATAAAACCTAAACTATTCCTCTGTCACCCCAAGTAATCAATTGTGTGCAGCTATTTCTTGAGTTATCCTGGCCCTTGGCCAATCTCTTTCCACTGTTTCACTGTAGGTGTGTTGTTCTTTAGGTAATATGCTTCTCATAGTTCTTCTCTCCAGGCCAAATCCTCCATGAATTCTTTGGCTGGCTTGTGTTTATGTTACTCAGACCAACTTGTAGGCATCAAATTATTTTACTTCCTTGCTGTTTATATCCACACAGGGGTCTAATGACTTTTGATATTCTGAAAATCTTTTCTGAAAAGACCTCTCAATTCAGTGACACCTGCTATACATGAAAAGAACATAAACGGCACAAAGGCCTTTGACCAAACGCAATAAAATGATTTAATCGAATACAGATCATTGAGAAAGAGGGTAGTTTAGAGTAGGGGTGGCTTGATACAACGTTCATGTCCGATAATGATACTGCAACTGAGAATCTGCTCATACTGATATCAATCAATACATTTTTTTCCTCTTCCATTATGAGCATGTGATCTTTTCAGCTGCTAATAACTGATTTGGCCTTTTGTCTAACTTCATCCTAATTGAATATTTCCTGCAGGCAATTGCATTAGAAAGAAAAAAAAAGATTTAATTTAATTGAAAAGTAATGAGGGAAGGTCTTTCAATCAGTTTCTGTGCGTGTGATTGAAAGGTCCACAGCAAATGTCCCAAAAATACAGGACACGTTAATGTCGGTGTGGTCTGTCTCATGATTGAGAGATTGTTTGCACATTGCTCATGCATAACTTGCCTTAATTAATTGAAAAATATGCTAGCCACTGACCCTATGTAGCAGTGTATCATCCATTTGTTCTTCATAGCGAGAATGAGGCAAATGAGAACACAATGCTTTACAGATTTGTGGTCAGAAATGTAGATAGGTTAACTACTTAGGTTTTCTGTCTGTCTATCTATGTATATATATACATGTATATTCATATATATGTGTGTGTGTATATATGTGTATGTATATATGTATACAGTATATACATATACATATATGTATGTATAGATACCTGTATGTGTATATATATATATATATGTGTGTATATATGTGTGTGTGTATATATATATATATATGTGTGTATATATGTGTGTGTGTATATATATATATATATGTGTGTGTGTATGTATGTATGTGTATATGTATATATATATTTATGTGTACGTGTATATATAGGTCCAGCCCGCAGCTGTGTTTGGTTTGTTTGTTTGGTAAAAGCAAATTTCTATTATGCATGTATTTTAAATGTTATAGATATGTATTTCAGGACGACTACTGGTGTTGTTTTATAATTGATTTATTTTCTTGCATTCCATTCTTTTCTCTGTAGGATCGTAAGCTGTCAAAGACAGAGAGGCAGCGATTCAAAGAGGAAGCAGGGATGTTGAAGGGACTGCAGCATCCCAACATTGTTCGCTTTTATGACTCCTGGGAGGGACCCTCCAAAGGCAGGAAGTGCATTGTTCTGGTCACTGAGCTCATGACTTCTGGCACACTGAAAACGTGAGTCTCAAACTATAACGCTATCTGACAATACAAACCATTACAGCAGTAAATAGTTGAATACAACAGTGCGTGTATAATTGTCTGCTGTGATTATTAAAAATGATTGTGTTTTCCTTTTAGATACCTGAAGCGTTTCAAAGTGATGAAAATAAAAGTGTTGAGAAGCTGGTGTAAACAGATCCTCAAGGGGCTTCACTTCCTTCATACTCGTGCTCCCCCCATCATCCACAGAGACCTCAAGTGTGACAACATTTTCATCACAGGCCCAACAGGATCAGTAAAGATCGGAGACTTAGGACTAGCCACACTCAAGCGAGCATCCTTTGCCAAGAGTGTTATAGGTAAGACTTCAAAGCCACTTCCGTTTTCTGGTCCTTGTCCTGGTCAGGACAGCATTTTTTTCCAAGGGCATAAGACTCTTATTGTATTGAAATGATTGTTTTAAAGTGTATATTTTTCTTGCACTTGTTTTTCTGACAGTGTGGTTCAAAAACAGACCACAGTGTTTCATTTGTCCTTAAAACCACAGCTCAAATGGAGGCCAGATTATGTATATTGCATAGGCACACAAACCATAAGGCTTTCACTCTTTACACTCAAACAGGAAGCTTTTCATCAAGTTTTGGACATTGTATGGAAAATTTCAGGTCCATGTTTCTTCCAAAAAAGTTTTTTCCAGGCACCTACTGAATGTAAGTAGCGCCTTACATTTCTCATAATATGATTATAATACTTTGTCATGCCTTCTTGCAGGCCAACCTGGCCATGACTAAGGTTGTGGCAATACTGTTTTATACTGGTCAATGTTCTGTGGTTTGGAAATATGTGGTCTGTTTACTAATTTTACCTGACCTATCAATCATCTTTTTCTGTGGGTTTGCCTCAACAGGTTATTTGTCCCTTGTGCCTTTTACTGTCTTTTAAAACATTTACAGGACTGCAGAATATTTTTTGCTTTGTCTGTGTCCAGTGGGCTCAGTCCACTTTCTACCTATCAGACTTTGCCTTTTATATTTCTTCTTATATTTTTTCCTTTTTATTTCATTTCCTTTTTTTCACATTCTTGGGTATGTTTTTAAGATGTAGGCTCTAGCCTCAGCTGTGCCCCATTATGCTGTTTGGAATGAATAGGGTATTGCTGGTCATTGAGTAAGTATGAACTTTTTATGAGCCTGGTAAGTTTGAACAGTGTGCTGTAACACACTTCAATTACAAAAAAAAACCAACAACAAAACAATACATCAAGACAACAAAAAAGTTCTTCTGTGTAAGACCTGAAACTAAATGCAAATGTGAAATTAATTAAAGGAGAAAAGGAAACTGATGTGCATGAACACACTACATAAAACAGGAACTAGCTATGGGATCCGTTTCTCGCAGCCTTGACCATAACAGTTTCCTCCTGCAGGTCAAGAAATGTAAGCAGGTATGGACTTTAAAAGGTAAGTTTATTATAAAAGGCAATGTTAATGTGTTTGCAAGGCGAGGTCGTGACAAAAGTAACTTCCATAGCTAGTCGTGCTTGTCATCACAGAAACTCTTTGGCATATCTTTAAACAATATCCTGGACTGAATTTACATCAAAGAAACTGAAATTAAAAGTCAAGTGAAGCTTGAAAATATAATGAAATTCAAAGTTCACTTTGGTGAACAAGTGTGTTCTGGACATCGGTAACCTCAGTCACATCCTTGTAACGCAACATTTTAAGGTCTTACATAGACAAACAGGTGCATTCTTTTCTACAGTCTAACTGAGCCCACCTTCTCCTTCCTTTTTTGTTTTTTCTCCTTTTTTTGCTTTCCTTCCCCTTTTCTTCCTTTTGTCTCTCCTCCAACTCTCGCCTCACAGGTTCTACTGCGGGAGCTGTCAGCAGACTGGTGACTTTTCTCAACCTCCTCTTCCTCAACCCCTCATGGGTTAGAGGAGCAGAGGGGCAATGGGTTGTGAGAGCCCCACTCAATCAGTAAGGGAGTACAAGAGTTCTGAATAGTTGTTTTGATTTAAGGTACCCCAGAGTTCATGGCGCCTGAGATGTATGAGGAGAAGTACGACGAGTCAGTGGATGTGTATGCCTTTGGAATGTGCATGCTGGAGATGGCCACCTCAGAGTACCCATACTCAGAGTGCCAGAATGCTGCACAGATCTACCGCAGAGTTACCAGCGTAAGTCTTTTTTTCATCGTCCACGAACCCCTGTGCCTCTGCCTTTACCTCTGCTTCTCCTCTTCTGTGTCGTGAAGGCTAATTTTGGAATACCTATTTAACTTCTTTCCTTTTTTTTATATCTCCATGAGCTCCAAATGGGAATAGATAGATAAACTGCTGAACAACTATAGTGTTTTTCCTCCTAAAGCCAGTTATTCAGTCTTGTGATCATACAAACAGTTTAGTTACGGTCCATAAATACTTTAAGGCTCATTCATACAGTTCAAAATGGATTCACCTTTGAAACACATGATCACAAGTATGATTCATACACTGATAAGTAAATTGCTTATCTAAGAATTATTGCAGTTTATCTTGACTGTAAAACACAGATTCCTCAGTCTTTGTGAGATGATTAAGAGTATTATTTATTAGCAGTGTCTATTTTTTTTTCAAGTTCATTCTGAAGAACACAAAACAAATTTGCCCCAGTGGAGAAATAAAAGTACTGTTGTCTAAAGCTGCGCTGTGTACAAGCCACAGCCTAAAATCTCTTAAATTTATGTATGAAGTCTCATGTAAACCACACTAAAATATAATCTGCTTAACTGGTGTCTCTTCCGTTTTTTCTCCTTGGTGTTGCACTGTGGCTCATTCACATGCAATACAGTAGTAGTGCCACTAGAAATGGTTTCTACTTCCTACTGTTTTTGTAATTTCAGCTCAGCTGTTAGGCAATGATTCATTCATTGCACTCCCTTTACTTGTACGACCGGAAGTTTCTTGTTGCGTTTGATCCATTCATTATCTCCCAAAGACCAGTCTCTGCTCACTGTATTTTTATTTGTTTTTCTTATCTCATTCCATCCCCTGGTATTAATTATCTTCAAATGTGTCTACACAGAATATGTGGCAATCGAGGTAATGTTGATTTTAAAAAAAAAAAAAAAGAAGAAGAAATTTAGTTCAGTGAAGTCAACCACATTAGTTTTAACCATATCTTGGAGGTACATTCTTGGCAAACTGAATGAAGGACCCTATTTTAATTTCCTAGTTGAGGTCAGGTTTGTTTTTGAAATTTGGGTTCTTCTAAGACTGTGAAGGTGGTGAGGTACGGGATAAAGTCCAAAACAAGAACTGCTTTCAAATTGAAATAATCCTCATTCAGAGTTCTGTGTTTTACTTAGGGAGTGAAGCCGGGCAGCTTGGACAAGGTGGCTTTCCCTGAAGTGAAGGAGATCATCGAGGGATGCATTCGCCAGAACAAAGACGAGAGGTGTCTGATTTGATAAGCTAAGAGACCACAATGTTTTAGGGTATCGTTGCTCACCACCGTCTTCTGTTCAGGTACTCGATCAAGGACCTTCTGAACCACGTGTTCTTCCAGGAGGACACCGGTGTGCGTGTGGAACTGGCAGAGGAAGATGATGGAGAGATGGAGGCTATAAAGTTGTGGCTGAGAATCGAGGATATTAAGAAACTCAAGGGGAAGTACAAAGACAATGAAGCTATTGAGTTTTCCTTTGATCTGAACAAGGATGTTCCTGAAGACGTCGCCCAGGAAATGGTAAATACAGATTTTTTATATGTGCTTTTAGGATGTGATTACTTTGAAGTGTCCCTATTACTAAAAATAAAAAATTTCCCCCATAGGTTGAGTCTGGTTATGTGTGTGAAGGTGACCACAAGACCATTGCGAAGGCTATTAGGGACAGGGTGTCTTTGATCAGTCGCAAGAGAGCACAGTGGCAGCAGGTGAGGACTGGCTGATCAAATTGTTACCCTTTCTATTAATAGTATTGAGATCAGTGCAAAAACCTGCTCTTGTGTTGAAATGTTTTATATTTGGCCTATAAAGATTAGATATATACTTATATTTCTGAATTTTAATCATCCAAAACCAAGCCTTTTAACCCTAACACTAAATGCCATTGATTCCAGTTTTTTTTCTGGATAATTCTGTGTCTTTGCTATTTTGATTGATTTTTCAATCTCTTTCATGGTTACCTGTAACTTAAAGTTGTCTTTCGCAACCTGTTAAACTTTTTGTTAATTCAACATAGCAGCAGAAACTGTGCAGGACTTGTCTATGAAGATTCTCAGTCATCCAGGTCATGGTCAAGTAATTCACGTCCAGTTGCCTAACAGAACTTTCAAACTGTACAGGACTCTTATTTGGGATTATGAAGGCCTCGTGGCTCTCATGGACACTTCTTTAAGAGCTTTATATAATTCCACCTTTAGTATTGTTCCTGATTTAATTAATTTAAATAATTCGTGCTTGTTGTTTAAAGGTCCGAGAAGATCAAAACAAGAAGTTTGACGACGAGACGCAGAGCCAGGTCATGTCAGCACAGCAACCAGGACAACAGTCTGGTACCGACTTGTCCCAACCAGTGGCTCCGTCGACATCTTATGTCCCTCCGCAACAAATCCAACACAGCTCACAGATCTCTGCACAACCTGTATGTCACCAGAGTCTACAGCATTCTGGCTACAGCGCGCCTCAGTCAACCCCGCTCACTGCTATGTCACAGGGGGTCCCTTATGTTCCTCAGTCAAATGTACAAGTTCAGGGACAAAGTGTGGCCAACCTTCAGCCCGAGTCAGAGGAGCCGGAGGCTGAACAACACCAACAGTTACCACACACTGGAGGTTTGTAGAGTAACGATCAAAAACCCCCTTAGTTACTTCTATTTCTGGGCAGCTGCATTTAAAAAAATCCCCTAAATAAATATTTATTTTGCCCACAGCTGCTCACATTGCAGACAGGTTACCTACTTCTTCTATTGTCACAGAGGCCCAGCCTCCTCAGCCTGGATTGTCCTACAGCTCTCCTCCTATTCAGCACCTTCAGCCCCAGCTGTCGTGCTCACAGACCCAATCTGAACAAATGCAGCAGCAGCAGTTGTCAGTGGTGAGTCGTTGTGAAAATAGAACATTGCACACAAAGTGATATATAAGTAGTAAGTAACGTGAATATAATATAAATATAACTCATTACAGTCTCCTTGGTACAGTAATAAATGCAATGAGCAGTTCTTGATTCAATTGCATTTGTTTCTACTAATACTTTTCTATGATCTATTTTGTTTATGTGTTGCTGTCAGGTTCAGCCCCAGGTGCAGGGTGTCCAGTCAGAAGGTCTATCAGTTACTACAAGCCAGGCTGTTCCTGTACCACCTGCTCAGGTTTGTGTTCTCCTATTCTTACATGAGCCCTAGAAGGAAGGTTATTCACTATTTTCCTTTGGAACTAGATGGCCTAATTGATCAACTATAGCTTCACCACAGCCAGACTAAAAGGAAAAAGTGGTAGAAGGTTGCATTTAGATAATGTTGTGTGACAAACTTATTTAACTTCACGTTTTGAACTTGGCACATCATTATACTTTTGATTAAACAACAAAACACTTGCATGGGTGAAAAACTAGTTAATTGGTACTATATGTAGAATAGTATTTTTCTATATTTTTTTTCTCATTCTCGAGTTTCCGTCTCTTATTCTGTGTTTTGTTTCTTTAGTATGGATCTTACTACCAACCATCGATCTCCTCTCAGGTAGATAAAAATGAACCCATTTCATCTCCAAACTGTGCCCAAAGTTAATGTTCGGGAATAACAGTGTCTGACCAATTCAAGTATTCAAAAACTTTGTCTGGTGTAATGTCAACGTTATCCTTTTTTTCAATAGGTTTCAATAGAGGGTAGCCAAACACTAAAAATTGAATGAATTGAATGAAAATTAATTTTTTAGGGCTGTCAACATAAACATGTAAATCAGTTATTCATATTAAAGTTATTCATGAGCAGAATAATACGCACTGTATATCCAATTAATTCACAATGGATCCACTTAGTGTTGCTCTAATACACTGTGGGCACAAACATACTTAAGCTAAAAAAACATCTTAACCCCCAGCATGTGTTGGTGGAGACTTCAACTTCATGTCTGAGGCCTTGCTTGTGTCGGACCAGTTAACAAGTCTATAAGTGACAAGTAGCCTGGCACCATTGTCAAATTGATTATGAAGAATGGTAGACTGATCAGTAGTGTTGAGGACAAAGGCTTTATTTATGTAAAAGTAACTCACAACGCATTCTACAAGTTGCTGTAAAGAATCACAGTAATCATTAAAATCTATCAACTCTAAGGAGCAAACCTTCAGTTAAACACTGCATTTTCCATATCAGTAATTCCATTGTTTGGAGCAATTACAGTCATATGCTGAATATTCTTTTTGTCATATTTAGGAATGTTGATTGACCTCGATTAATCATGAGAAATCCGATTTTAAGCTGTGATTAAACCGATTTTAAAATTTAAATCATTTGACAGCCCTAAAACTTTTATTTATTTTGGCAGTCAATGGACTTTTTTTATGAAGGGGTCAGTTATATCGCAACACCACTCATCATATTACTGACATCAATTTTTATGATTTTTCTATTTTAGATTCCCAACCAACAAGTAACAATACCACCAATATCACAGCCAACTGCCCCACAGCAGCAACAACAACAGGTGGA